ACTAGTTAAGTTAGTTATTTGTAATAATTAAGTAGGTATTGTCTTTCCTAAAATATCCTTACTAATTAAGTGCATTAGCTAGAACTACCATTATTTCAAAGACCACCTTAAAAAATGAATAAATATGACAGATAAAGTAGATTGAAATTTTATCATTAGGACCAAAATAAAATTCAAACAAGCTCTTATATTAGCAAAGGTACATAATTATTGCAAATAAATAACTCAACAAACTTTCTTAGTCTACCTAAATTAGTCAACTAACTCTGATATTAAAAATCAAAAGTAGCATTTACTATAAAAATATCCAAAGCATATTAACTCCATGAGAAAATAGTACCCCCTCCCGCCTTTAATATAAGAGTTGGTAAAGAATTAATTTATTTGCATGTTTGTCCTCCCCCCGTGTGTTCTAATTCAATTTGTTACCTTGTTGATCAAATTTTTATATTGAAGGACCAAGGTACACAACAAGCTTATAATGATGCTATATGTGCAATATCTGTTGTTTTGGGTAATAAATTAAAACTGCTATTATAAGCGGCGTATGATAGATTTTTTAAAACAGAAAAGGGATCTAGCAGAGACTCAAGTAGCTAGCTGGCCGTAAAAACGCGTCTACAATGAGCTACATTTTTCAAAAATCATAGTTAGCAAGTGTTAGATGTAGTCTAGTAGGATCACAACAACTAATTAATGTCACGTTTAATTAAACTATAAAAAAATTGTGGCTGGTTATCGATACAAGAACTTTTTTAGTTACAAGTTACCAAATCATCAAGGACAAAACTATAGTAATTGGGACCCATAAATGAATTAATTAGAAGTTGGAGGGGCCTCCACGTGTCAACTAGAAATGCATGCCAAAACACGATGGGTTCTCGCAAGCATGACGTCCGTGCGATTGGTCTCTCTTGTGGAGACACGTAATTCTGTATGTGCTGTAATTAACACACACAAGAAGCTGCATTTGCATGGATCCGCTTACATGCATACCTACACGCGGACATACATACATGTATACATGCAACGAACATAGCCCTTAGCTAGGGGCGTATGTATGTACAAGGAAGGCGAATATGGAAAGGGGAAGCAATTTGGGCAGAAAATCATAGAAGACGACGATATGTTGGAGAGCGAAAGGGCAGCCGCATCTCCAAAAGGGTTTTGAATCCTTCATTGTTGGATATATAATATGCCCTTTGGCTTTTGGGACCTAACAAAAGGTCACATTACGTGAGCCTCCCTCCATATATATCCAATTCATCTTCATTTATTGCGCCAAACCTTTTGCCGGATCAGATCGAAACTCTTTTTGTCTTTTCATTACGTGCACTCACTCACTCAGTGATCTGATGTGAGTACATATGTTTGTGTGGAGAGGCCGGCCAATGGAGAGAAGTTTGGAGATGATGGATGATGAAATGAACACAAGGGAGAGGGTGCCCATACAGAAGGCAACCTCAGCAAACTTTCCCCGTTGTTTGCGTAGGCATGCATACATAAGCAACCTTCAAATAAAATTCAAGTGTTGAAGGTAGCTACGTACCTATTTCCTTCACACTTGGTCCTCTCTAACATATGATTCGTGTTCCCTTTTACGTCTATGTTATTATCAATGCCATGTCACCACCAAACTCAATCTCTGCCCACCCAAAAAACCACGTCCAAACTTAATTTGTCTTTTTAATATTTGTATTCATTCAAGATTCGTTTAACAGATGAATCATTTTCTCCTATTTAGTTAGTACTACCTCCTTTCGTTAATATAAGAACTAGTTAACTAATATGATCATATTAAAAAAATTAGTTGAGTTAATTATTTGTGATAAAAAGATATTGTCTTCTCTAAAATATTTTTATTAATCATGTTCATTAGTTAGAACTATCATTTTGTGAAACATTTAACACATGCAACTACTATAAGTGCTTCTTAGAGAAAAAAATGGATAAATATAAGAAGCAAAGTGGATTGAGATTTTATATTTATAACTAAATTAAATGTTAAATTAGCTCTTATATTAAAAATCGAACGTAATATTTTATTTGTTTTGTAGACTCTTTCTGACCATGCGTGCAGTTTTTCTTTTTACTTGGTGAACTTTATATGCTTTTTGTCGTTGCAACATCGATATAAAACTGATTTTATTTAAATTTAAATACAAAGACAAGGTACTCCTCCGGTCCTTAATATAGGATCCAATTCTTGAGTTAGTTTTGGTCCTAAATATAAGACCTATTTTTCATATTTATCAATTTTCTCTTAATTGCCCCTATGAATACTCCTCAAGTATAATCAAGTAGAAAGGGAGAGGAGGTATTATAAAAGATGTTTATGGTGTTTTAGGAAAAATGTGTCACTTTTCTTATAATTAACTAACTTACCTAACTTCCTTAATCTAATCAAATTATTTAAATGGGCCTTATATTAAGGACCGGAGGAGTATATTTTCTTGTTGCACGTACGATTCTTAAGAAAATAAACATATACAAAGCACGCAATTTATAGTTAGTGATCTATAGTCTAACAATAGTTTATTACTTCTTTCTCTAATTTTTTGTCTTATTGATGTTTGATTACTTGTGTCAGCTTTGAGGACAGTGAGGTAGGATTCAATTCATTGAGAAGGGAGAAAATTTTGAGGTTTTATTACATTGCAAATTTTTGTATTCGTTAAACTGCCTATTACATGTAATTTTGCATAATTAACATTGAATAATATAACTTCATCATATCTAGTTTACCACAACCAAGCGCCTTACTAGTACATCGTTGTGCACTTCCCTATAAAAATATATTATGTACACTTTTTATTCATTAATTTTTCCAAATGAAGAGACAAAAACAAAATGCAAAACAAAAGAAAGAGACAGGCATGCAAGGACATCATTACCCATTGCACATGCATGTTGCCCATTGCTTTCTTCGTAAATATAAGGTTCTTTAAGGGTTTTCTTTTTGTTCAAAATTCAAGGTCTCATTTCTTCTTATTTCCAATATTAAAGTTTTTTCTTTCTCATAGTACCCTTGTTTATTGAAATAGTTGTATTTTTACGCATTAAATTTTAATCATTTAATGGCAAGATTATATTTGAAAATTAAAATAAAATCAAATTCTCTACATATTAATTTCAAATAATCAACTTACATAGTCGTTTGACATTTGCGATTTAATTAAGAGAACATTATATTTAGAATTAAAAGAGCATTATGAAGTCCAAGTAATCAAGAGAGGGAATCTCAAACATTATTCAAAAATTGCTTTCATCATAAATAACTAAATAACTACCACAAGAATATTCTTCGCACCCAATTTTTATTTTATTATTAAATAAGACGTAGCTAACAATAAAATAGTGTGTTATTTCATTATTAAATAAATCTTGGGATGTTTATTGAGATGAGATAGCCAACGAGGATAAAAATACGTTAACGATTATAATAAGCCTGGGCCTTCATAAGAGGCTTCTATACGAAAGTCGGAATGAGCATCATTCGTGGGTTGCTTTTTCTATGTTTCTTCTGTTTGTCTCCTCTTATGATGGCTTTGTCATGGGCCAGACTTAATTGACATCTATCCTTTGAAAACACAAGATGCTCCACTGAAAGCCGAAATGAAAAAGAAGAATGTCTGTGCCTTTAGAGTTTAGACATGCGGATGTGCTTACCTCGCTTTATTTCTCAAAGAAAATAATTTAAGGAAGAATTTCAATGAGCCCCCACAGTAGAAAGTTATTTTCCAACAACCTCCACTAAATTATGAAATTTCATGCACCCTTTAGACTAAAATGAAATTAAATTTTATGGGTGAAAACCCTTGCAGTGACGGAAACAAAAAAAAGCAAATTCACAGGCAGAATAAAAGGATTCACAAGAGGAATAAGCCTATTTATAACTGAAGTAAGGCTATTTACAAGTGAAGCAAGCATTCGCAATAAGTTAGGGAGTTGGAATTTGACAGTGGAATACAGAAATTTGCAATCAAGATAAGATAATTCACAAGAGAAATAAAATCCTTTACAATTAGAGTAAGGCCATTTATGGGTGGAGCTAGCATTTCTAATAATTCTGGGAGTTATGATTCAGAAGTCGAATACGTAAATTTACACCCAAGATAAAGTAATTCATAAGAGAAATAAGGCTAGTTACAATTGGAATAAGGTCATTTACAAATTGAACTAGGAAATTAAGATTCACAAGTAAAATAAGAAAATTTACAGTTGAAATTAAGTGATTCATAAGAGGAACAAGTCCTTTTACAATCAGAGGAAGGGCAGTAATGCCTTTCCACCCATAAAGTTTAGTTTCATTTTCATTCTTGGGATGTAATGAAATTTCAGAATTTTGTTGGATGTTGGAAAATAAATTTCTTTTGTGGAGGATGACTAAAATTCTCCCATAATTTTAACTTTTTTAATCATCACAATGCATCTTTTTCACTATCCGATAGTACCTAAAAGTAAGCGACCTCGACTCCGATGACGTAAGGGCAAGGAAAACATCCCTAGATACCACTGCATTTTAGACTTCTAAAGGACTTGGTTAAATACAACAAATTATCAGATAGTCTGCCATAACCAAGTTCTTGAAAAAGTTCAGGAAAAAAAAAACACCCGAAAGAGTTTCCCTTCTTGCTGTCTTTTTTTTTTTTTTTTTTGGCCAACGCCAGTTCATTCCATAATAGATCAACAATGCAAAGTATTGTGAGATCACCATAAAGCAAGACAAATATCAACGTACATCAGTTTGGGCTTTACATAAATCAGATTCTATAAGTTAATGCAAAAGAGGCGGCGGTCTTATCACCCAATCAGTCAGGCAAGACCCAGTCAAAAAAGCTCTAGCTACCCAATCAGCAACAGAGTGTGCCTCTCTCGGGATCCAGCTACACGAGTGGCTCCTTAGACAGTTCCTTGAGAATTGTAGATTTTCAAGGATAACATAATTTCTCCAACCTCGACCAGGGGCATTGTTGTTCAAGCATATCCTTGTTACCACAATGGTAACTTCACCAGTTAAATGCTACAGCATATCAGATGAATACATCTATGACAAGACCTGTATAATACGCTCCAGATCTGCTACTTTCCTGCAAGAAAAAACTACACCTGTATTGTAGAAGGATTTGACAAACACACCATTATGAATCACCAGGACATGAGAATGGCTTCATTGGCATGCTGACGTTTGCAAAACAAAAAAAGCCCAAGTTTCCGGACAATGAGCCAGTTATGGGATATCACCTGGTCTTGTAATAAGAACCACTTTTTCCCTGCAGAAGTACTAATTGCTTCATCTCGAAAGGTCTTCTATGTTAAACTTCTCATCCCATAATTTTAACTGAATCCTTAGAAATTACGCTTATCTCAAGTGTCTTTAAAAAATAAAGTTGATCAAGTTAATCTCCAAAAATTTTGTTTTATATAAAATGGATTGTGCGGGGAAGTAACTATAGGTCCACAATACGCAAGCAATGACGATGGATGGCAGAGTAAGGCAACAAGGAAGCCTAATACTACTACAGGGAACAGCGCCAGCAACACAACCAGAAGTCTAAAGGAAAGTGAAAGTAGAGGTTGCGGTGATAGAAGATGATCTGATTCTACTTGATTTTTGGTCAAGCCCATTCGGAATACGAGTCAGAACTCAGAAGTGCCGTAGCCGAGAAGGGAATCCAGTACAAAGCGAGGGAAGCAGATTTATCTGGCAAGAGCTCTCTTCTGATGCAGATGAACCCTCTTCATAAGAAAGTCCCCGTCTTAATTCATAACGGAACACCCATCTCCGAATCGCCCACAATAGTTGAGTACATTGACGAAGCTTGGAGCCAAAAATCTCCATTGTTTCCCTCTCATCCCTATGAGCGAGCTCACGCCAGGTTTTGGGCAGATTACATCTAAAAGAATTTCAGTTTGGGCTGGTAGATGTGGCTCTAATTCCATTCTACGTCCACTTCTACACTTCGGAGACGTGGGAATTTCAGCATCTCGGAAGAATTTCCCAAGCAGGTGAACTAGGGCAAAACGTGTATGCACAAAGAGACTGTGTCCCAGTATATTCCTGACCAAAACAAAGTCTTTCGGTTCCTTTCGGAGATCAGACGCAAGGCCTTGCTTACCTAGCAGTGATAAAATAATTATCGATCTTCTGTGTGGCTGTGAGGCCATAATATGAGTGACGAGTTAATAAAATTTTGTTGTTAGTGATGACTGAGTCAGTTTAGGACCCTAGTCTCCAGGGTCATTTGTCTTTGTATTGAGTAGGGGCATTGGATCCTCTCCTCATGTTTTGCCTTTTATGACCTGTCATCTTCAATGAACAATTCATATCTTCCTTTTATCATTCATGCGTTGTTAGGTTACAGTAAATTTTATAGTTTACCATACTTTTTGAGTATGTCCATTTACTTCTTTTTAAGCTGCGTAAAATATATCGTTTTCTTATAATCATTGCAAACTATAGGAACTTATAATAATTTTATAGTTTTCACAGAAACGTCTTCCAGCTTATTAGGAGTTTACTGGTGATTTAACAAGAAGCATTTGGGAGAACCAAAGTGGTTGTCTTCCTCACAACTTGTCCAACATCATCATCATAATATCATTATTATTCAAGATGAAACCTCGTAATAATTTGTCAAATGGCCATTGATTCGAAACAAGGTTACAAGCGTACGAGGAATTAAAGCAGAGTAAGTAGCGTGTGTGTAAGCTTTGTGAGAAGACAACAGCATAAAAGTGGAGACTATCGACATGGGTCATGAGCCACTTGTCGAAAACCAATGAAAGATGGAAGGAGGCATCAGCCATGGTGGGTGATAAGGTGAGGCGGGGCTAAAACAGTTACATCTATGTCTTACCCACTACCGGTAGATCTTATCAAAGGGCACAGTACGTCAATATCTATGAGTGCTTTGTTCAGCAGATTCATGACTTTGGTGACAAGAATTAATGCTTCAATTGCACCCCTTTTCCGGTCTTAACTGCTATTGCACTTCCCAAAGCAAGTGGTCTCTATTAGTTACGCCCCCCCTAATCTAAAACAATTAAAGCCAGATCGAGACGTTGCATTTGGACCCCACTATTCGAAACATCAGCCTTTGTGTGGCATTTTAAACCATCAGGGTTTTTGATATACTCGTCTGATTCCATTTATAAGGCTTCTGATTCTATTTATAAGATACTTTCAACATATTTCATATAGATTAAGAAAAACTTTAAACTTTATTAATCTCATCTAAATTTAATGACTTTTCAACTTTATTTCTATTTAATATACATTATACCTCATATTAGTAAAGTCAACATAATATGAGGGGTAAAATTGTATATTCATACAAAAAATTTCCCTCAATGTCCTATAAATAGGACTAAAAAATACATTCTTTTTTTACCCTATAAATAAGACCAGAGGAGTATAGCCCTTCTATCTCAAAATATATGACTGAAGGGTTAGTTAAAATTGATTAAAATAATAAATATTAAAAAATAACTTATTTTCTTGTAAAACACTTTTACTTATAGAGAGGGTTAGTAGAAAAGAGAATGAGTGTAAAAAGATATACATAAGAAAGAACGGGTAAAAAAAAAAAAGAAATGAGAAAGACCTCCAACTAATTAGGAATAAAATAAAAAAATTATATTAAATGGTTAAACAAATTCAATTGCAGCTGCTTTTAAAAGGACCAAGTCACTTTAAAAATTTGATACTTATATTTTGTTTGTGAGGCAGTGGCAACACAAACACACATACATGCATCGATCACCTTCTGTTCCGATATTGAAAGCAACCCTCAAAACTAGTCGTTTCAAACTAATTCGTATTGTCAAATTATAGGGTTAATTTTAGTTCTTTTATAAAAAGACAAAATGATCGATCTTAGAAAAATAAATAAAGGTAAGTTAAATAATAATGTACAGCATTAACAAAGGAGAGGTAGGACATGAAGGGCACAAGCTAAAGAAGAAGTGATTAGTTCTTCTTGGAACAGAAAAAATTAATTTAAAGACTGATAAAAATTAAACATTATACATAGAGCCTTCTAGGCATATACTTTATGTTTTCTATTTTTATATATACTTTGGGCATCTATTTTTCTTCACAACTTATTGTCTTCAGGCATTAGATTAGCTTTAATATTTTCATAATATCACATGGTCTTTTTTATTCCACAATCATTTTTTCTTAACATTTGCTTTTCAATGAATTGATACATATTTGTCTATATGACTTCTGGTCATATTATAACAGTTGTTCATAATTTTATCATATTGATCATAGGCTATTACTAATTCTGCTGTTATGATTCAATAGTCAAGCCCAAGATTATTGTCCTTTTAGTTATCAGTTCCACTGATACAATGTGATCATACTCTTTATCACTCTTATAGATATATTCTTTGCTTTCAATAACACACCATCAATTTTCTCAAATATTAGTCTTCTGGATTATAACAAAATTTTCAGAACTACGAAGTTCTTTTGTATCGTTTCATTTTTAAACCATCAATCTTTAGGACTTTGATATAGATTATCAAATTGTGACAATCTTGTCATACCATCCATTACTACCACAAGATGGTCTTTTGTCAAATAATCATCAAAACGTGATGTGGCTTCTGGCTATCTAATCACCAAATCAAGTAGTCAATGACTATTAGCCATTCATTTATATATTTAACATTTTACTTTCTAAGACAACAATTACCCAATATCAGAGATGATAATCATATATAGTAATTTTATATGAACATACACTTCATAGCAAATCAAGAAATATAAGGACAGTAGAATCATGAAAATATAAGAAAAGTAAGAAATAAAAATAAATTTTCATATCTCAATATGATGAATAAATATTCATTGCCAATGAATCAATATGGTTAATATGCAAAACCATCATTTGCTCTAAATAAATTGGAGAAATCTTACCAAACTGTTCGGATCAAACTATCTTCATTCAACGAACAAAAGCATCAATGTGTATCAACTAGAAACCATGAACTCAGATAGTAGAGTCTCGTGCTAATAACGTGTTATGAAATTAACCAATAATGAAAGCTGATTGGAGAAGAGAAGTAGACAAGAAAATGAGATAATAATATTGTATTCCTTCACTTGCTTCACTTGCATTACAATACAATGACATGCATTATTTATAGGCATAGTCTTACACATAAGTTACATTTGTACTTAAATGATAGATAGTGGACAATAAACCACATGAATATGAGTGGGGGGAGTTACAAGATTAAAGGCATAGTGAAAAGGTAATGGAGTAGTGGAAGATTAATGCCTAGTGAAAATAGTGGGAATGATGATGAAGTTGAGAGGAAGAAGAAGAGAGATGGACATCCACATGTTATAATATTCATACACAAACAACTTGTTCCTATAATATAGAACAATAATCTTAACCTTGACATATCAATAAATGTAGTGTGGTTTTTTAGTCTGACCAGAACAAATGCAATTAATTAAGTTAAGAACTAAATGTTAACATGATGCGGTAATTTCATTCACAGTTTAAAGATTCACTTCATGATAAAGATAAAGAATTAATTAAATAAAAATCTACTATAATTTTTAAATTATAATTACAATTTACTCAAAATATTAAAGAGTAAATTAGTGAACATAAAATTAAAAACTAGGGCAAATTACTGTGCGGTCACAAAGAAGAAAGATAATTACTCAAAATTTTTAATAAATGAGCAAGAAAAACTGGCTATCATTTTATGTACTGAAACTTGTTATTACATATTGCTCAATGATTAAATTATGACATCTCTTTTTTTGAGTTAATACTATTTTTAGTTTTTTTTTTTTAAAATTTGTACTCATTTTGGTTTTATCCCTCAAATTTCAAACTATAAATTTTAGTCTCTCAAATTTGCACTTATTTTGATTTTGATCTCTAAAATTTTAAATCACTGGTTTTGGTCTCTCAAGAGACAAAATGATACAGGTTTTTATTAAATTATAGGGACCAAAACATATGATTTAAAACTTAAAGGACAAAATTAAAATGAAGACAAATTTGAAGGACAAAAAATTGTATTAATTTTTTTTAAAATCAAAACTACACCGTACTTGTGTTGATGCAATGAAATGATTAAACTGAGACGAGACCAGGAGGTGAAAAAGAAAGTTGTAAATCAGTCCTTCAAAGGTGAAATGGAAGCAAATTTCTCCTTTTCCTCTTCATATAATACTAGGATTTCTGACGGAAGCCGTGACATTATGGGAAGGTGAACTTTGTAATTACAGTTGAATTCATGTTTTAAAAAACGATGCCTCGGGAGGGCATCATTAAATTATTTAGGAACTAGCCTGTCGTTTAAATATTAAGATGTTAAAAAAAAAAAAGAAATAATATATTATTATTGTCTTTTTTTTAAATGGTTAAACAAATTCAATTGTAGCTTTTAAAAGGAAGAAGTCACTTTAAAAATTTGATACTTATATTTGTTTGTGAGGCAGTGGCAACACAAAAACACATACATGCATCGATCACCTTCTGTTCCGATATTGAAAGCAGCGCTCAAAACTCGTCGTTTCAAACTCATTCGTATTGTCAATTATATAGTTCTTTTATAGAAAGACAAAATGATCGATATTAGAAAAATAAATAAAGGTAAGTTAAATAATAATGTACAGCATTAACAACGGAGAGCTAGGACATGAAGGGCACAAGCTAGAGAAGAAATCACCAGGTCTTCTTTTAACAGGAAAATTGAATAGTCTAAGGATGTGTGTGTGTGCGCGCGCGTGAACATCTAAAGTACTATCTTATTATGTTGAGCAAATTAGATCTACACATCCAACTTAAAGCAGTAGTA